AAAAAAAAAAAAAAACGGTAAGCCAGGTGTGGTGGCTCATGCCCGTAATCCCAGCACTTTGGGAGGCAGAGACAAGGGGATTCCCTGAGCTCAGAGCTTCGAGACCAGCCTGAGCAACTTGGCAAGATCTTGTCTCTACAATAAATAAAAAATTAGCCAGGCATGGTGGTGCGCTCCTGTGGTTCCAGCTACTTGGAAGGCTGAGGCAGAAGGATCATCTGAGCTCAGTAGGTCAAGGCTGCGGCAGCCAGGAGCATGCCACTACACGCCAGCACAGGTGACAGAACGAGACTCCAACTGAAAAAAAAGAAAAAATGGTTAAGATGATAAATTTTATGTTACATGCATTTTTTTTAAAATATGAGCTGTAGTCTCACTCTATTGCCTAGGCTGGAGAAGTAGCATAATTATGACTCACCACAGCCTCTACCTTTTGGGTTCAGGTGATCCTTCCACCTCAGCCTCCCCAGTGGCTAGAACACCAGGCATACTCCATAACACCAGGATAAATTTATTAATTTTTTTGTAGAGACATGGTCTCACTCTGTTGCCCAGGCTGGCCTCAAACTCCTGGCCTCAAGCTAGCCTCTCGCCTTGGCCTCCCTAAGTGCTGAGATCACAGATATGAACCACCAAGCCCAGCCAGTTGTATACGTTTTACCACACACAAAAAGGTCAGTGACAGAGGCAGAGGCTGGAACCCCAGCTTCCAAGAAGAAGTCCTGGCACAGGCTCCTACAGACCGTCTAGGGCCCTGACCAGGGACACCTGGCAAACACACACCCTCAGTCCAGAGCCCAGCCAGTAGGAGGAGTTATCACGTGACTGCCCCCACATCCTGCCCTGATACGGCTCCTCAGCGATCATCTAGCCCAATGCCTTTCTTTCCCCAGTGGCAGCCAAGTCTTCTTGTTCGAACAAAATTTTACGCAAAAATTCAACTTACAAAAACACATCAGTGGCAAGCTGCCCAGCCATCCTCCTCTGCATTCTCCTTGGTGACCAACATAACAGCAAAGAGAACCCCTACATTCCTCAATTTGAAAACCACTGATCAGCCGGGCTCGGTGGCTCAGCCTGTAATCCCGCGCCTTGGGAGGCTGAGGTGAGT